GTTTCAGGTACTGGAGTTACAGCAGCAATAATTGTTACGGGGTCAGTACCAATTACAGCTGCAGCAGGGAACTTTATAGCGCCTCCCTTCTCCTTCCAGCGCTTATGATGACTTGCGCCATCACGATGTGCAAGCCAGCGCATTAGGGTTGTTTTTTTATCTATCACCTGCAGGCGATATATCCCGAGATTAAAACCATCTTGTTTTTCGTTTGTTGGTCCCTTAGTTACCACTAATGGCCAAGTAATGAGAGGAGCGGGCTCATTGGGCCAACATGTTTGAATAGGCAGAATTCTTAAATCTACCTCATCTCCAGTTAATACTATTTCTTGGCATGGGGCATTTTTTACAACCTTATTCCTCATTGATAATACGGTTTTCAATAAAGGAACCATTTTTATTGCATCTCTAAAGCTTTTTGGTGGCTCGGGAGACTGTAAAAATGCTAAAAGTCTACCAAAATCTCTAAATTCTTGTGGATTTATATCAAGTCCCAAAGCTATTCTATTGATAGTACCAAATAGATTCACTAAAACTGGCATGGAGCTTCTGCCATTTTCTGTCACTACATTCTCAAAAATTATAGCAGGTCCCTTTTGTGATAATACCCTGCGGTGAATTTCTGTCATTTCTAGTACCGTTGATACTTCTTCTTTAATTCTAATCAGATCTTTTTTTGCTTCTAAAGCTTTTATAAAATCCTGTAAATTATTATATTTGAGCATAATTAATATTATAAACCCGCTACAGCTGTTTTATAGCTAAAAATTTAAAAATAATAGTATTATTTGTAGAAAAAGTAGAACTAATCGTCATAACTAAAGCCATGACTACGATCACCACCAACAGCTGGTGATGAACTTGGGGAAATATTTTGGCCATGATGCAGTCCTGCATCATGCACATCATCGAAGCCATTGAGGGCATTACTCATACCGTCGCCCTCATTCAAATATGGAAAATCATTTGGATCAGCAAGCGCTTCACCTTGTTGTGCAGCGCCATCTCCTTCTTCTTCTCCTGAAAGCAACCTATCAAAAATTTTTATACCAAATGGATTAGCTGATTTGCCAAATATGGTTGCTAAATTATTACCACTTACAAGACCTTCTAATAGATGAGGAAAAGCACCCATTGCGCCTGCATGAGCATTCAAAAGCCATCCCATTCCTTCACTAATTGTTCCAATAGAATCACTTAAGCCAAGACCAAAACCATCTTTACCTTCCCCTTGTTGTTGTTCAGCTTGTAATGATTGAAGATATGACCCCATAATTTACTCCAGTTTTTTATTTGCGATTGTACCAGAAATATTATAAAATTTCAAGAACGAGTCTAGACTTTTTATCTAATAATATTGATTATTGTTTTTCTCTATTACACAGAGAAGACATGAATTTTATTATGATAAAGTAAATACATTTTTAATATTTTTATAAAAAGCTATAGGTATAAATTTTATTCCTACTCTGATGAGTATTCTCAGGTTATTGATTCTTTTTTTTACCATTTCTTCTACGCACGTTATACGCTATGATTATCATGGTCATGATACAAAGGTTTTATTACAACAAAATTCAGCTCTAGCTTTGGAAGCGGCAATACCAGAAATCATATCTTTACCTATAGAATTTCCTAATGTTACAAATAGTAGTCAGCTTATCTCTATTGACATTAGTGATGAAACGCCGGTAAGGGATTTATTAATTGAGATAGGAAAATTTCTGATATTAATTTAGATATAGATCCCAAAATATCCGGCAATATTATCTTAAAGTTAAAAGATAAGAGCGTAAATGAAGTAATTCAAAACATAGCTCAAAGTGCTAAACTACGCTATTCAATGGATAATGATGTAATTAGGGTTGAGCAAAATTTACCATACTTACAAAACTATTATGTTGACTTCGTCAATATCCAATGGTCTGCTCACAGCAGTTTTGTCCTTAGTGATAATATTATTAACAGCAATGGAAATTCTACTAACGTGGGCTCAACCAATGCGATAAAATCGCAATATAGTAGCGATCTATGGGGTTCGCTAGAGAAGGGCTTAAATATGATAATGGACGTTAATGGGATAAACGATGGTGAATTTCTTTATTCCAACAGGGAAACTGGTATAATCATTTTAAATGCTAGAAAAGATATCCACAAGGCTATTGAAGAATACATCCATAAAGTTAAAAGATTAGCACCTTTACAGGTAATGATAGAAGCAAAGGTAGTGGAGGTTGTATTAAATGATCAATACCCTTCTAGTATTAACTTCAATGATTTGCATAGTAATCAAGAAAATCCTACTACACGCCTGAGTTTTAGTGATTTAGAAGATTTAATAAAAAGTTTAGACAAATTTGGTACTTCGTCAGTAATATCAAGCGCTAGAGTACATGCTACAAATAATCAGCAGGCGATGATCTCATTTGCTGAAAACCACGTTTATTTCACTGTTGATGCAAAAACAGTCCCCGATAAGACTTTAATTACCAAAATCAAGAGTGTTCCAATAGGTGTTATGCTAGTAATTCATCCAATCATCAATATTGATGCTAATGAAATATTTATGGATGTAAGTCCAACTTTATCAAGAATCAATGGTTATACTAAAGACCCAGGAATAGAATATATTGCACAGCGAAGTAAAATAAAATTAAACAGCAATGTTCCACTTATTGAGATAAGAGAGATGAGTTCTATATTAAAAATTAAGAGTGGTGAAATTATGGTTATTGGTGGTTTTATAGAACGTAGAGAGGATGCGCAGGGTTTGCGAGTCAAAAGAAAGCCTTTTAGTAACATTGGGGCCGTGGAAACCGTTGTATTTTTAAAAGCAACAATTGTTCCTTCATTTGGTTTTTTGAGCAAAAAAAAAGATAAGCACCATATACGCTAACTATGTACAAAGAAGGTGTAGGAACATGAGATCTCCCGCCAAACGAACAAAAAAGCATAAAAACAATAAAAACGTATAAATGAAAATGCTAGTTTATTTATCAGCAATCTCCTTATTCTTTAGTGGATCTTTATAAAAAATTTTTGTTAATTCTTTATTAATTCCAGGTACATTCTAAATTTCAGTTATTGAGGCTTTGCTTGTGTTTTCAGTGGAACCAAAGTAAGATATTAATATTTTTCTCTTATTGCTAATACCAGATATTTCATTAATTGCGAGACCAGAAACTGTTTATCATATTTTTCTGTCTGTAGTAATAGCAAATCGGTGAGCTTCGTTATGCAATAATTGCAAGTAAACATATCATGTGCTAAACTAAATCCTTCTCTATTTAGCATATAAAATCTTTCTTTTCCCGCATTACGATCTGGACCCTTTGCTATGCAAGCAAAAGGAACATTTATGTTTATATCTTCAACTCATTTTCTACTATGGAAACATGCTCTGGTCCACTATCAATTAACAAATCAGGTATTACATCTTTTATACTACCAGAAAAACGTCTTATAAGCACTTCCTCTATCATTCTGTAGTCGTCACCCGAGGTTTTTCCCTTTGATAGTGAATTTTCTATATTTACTACGCAGAAAACCCCTTCTGTCCAGCAACAACCATCACGCCAACTTGTTGATTCCAGATGTATGACTATTGTCATAAACTTCAATGCGTTGCGGGATACTTAGCAAAAAGAAAATTTTAGCTAGCTCTTCTAACTTTTCTAGATTATTCTTATGATCTACAAGCTTTTGTTCTAAGCCATGTTATGCATTACCATAAATGGGCCTTAATAAGTCACGTTTTTCTTATTTTTTTTGATGTAGTATGGTTATTGATTTCCGAGCTGCTTTGCACAATGCTTGTTCTATAATTTCAATGTTGTTAACGTAATTAGGTCATAGATTCTTAATGGGAGGTCAGCTGTATGATATAAGTGGACTAAAAAATTAGTAAAATATCATCATTTGAATGATCGCTATTATTTTTAATAAAGTTGAATGATCGCTATTATTTTTAATAAAGTAAGGGATATGGCTATAGTTATATCTGTTTCTAAATTACAACACATGAATACATGCTAAATCTGTTTTGCGTGCAATATTGAGAAAATCTGCGTCTTCTTTAAAAAAGAAGTCAACGACTTTATCTTAATTTGTTCAAGAGATTTTAACCTATCTCTATATACATCAGCGCGTTCATATTCCTGTGTATTACTATGTCTTTGCATCGCGGAGAGTAATTGTTTTTCTACTTTTTATTCTTGCCAGCTAATGTAGCGTGTGCTTATTTAACTAGCTCGCCATGATTATTTTTTGTGATTATGTTTACATAAGGTGCTGAACAATGGTGCATTTGATATTCAATGCATGCTTTTCTTGCTAAAAGAGGATCGATTTGAACATGTACTTAATAGAAAAGCTTTTTTGCAGTGACTATATGGTATTTTTGACTGCAGTGGCAGAGGAAAGGGTACCCTAATAATAAAATTCATTTTTTTATTTACCGGGGAACTTCGCTATCATTGGGTATTCATATTTAGAAATTGTTATATAAGGGTAAGACTTTCCGTCTTTAAGTAAAATATTATAGGATGGATACAAATTTTATTAATTGTGCTTCAAGCAAAAGGGCTTCAACTTCATTTTAGTGATAAAAATTTCTATTTTGACTACTTTTGAAAACATAACTCTGATTCGTTCAGAAAGATTTTCAACATGAACGTAAGCATATAACATGGACTTTAAATTTTTGCTTTCCTGATGTATAAAATACTATTTTTATCCTATCATTTTATACACATCACAAGATTGTGGAGAAAAATCAATTTATTCTTTTATTGCTGAACATTTATCATTACTTAATCTGTATTAGGCTAAAATCCGCTACCAAATGAAAAATGGAGACTACTTTAACCAATAGAGATAATCTATTTTTTCTTAATTCACTGCAATCACAATTAATCTTTACATTGTCCATAAATTGATTGAGAGCTGGAACAAAACTTGCAAGTTCATCAAGCGCTGAACTAAACTGGTTATTTTTTACTGCTTGCTTGATGCTTTCAAAGGAGGTCATAG